ACAGAGGGCGTTTTGATGGTTGCTTCTCCCAAACTTTTATATTGTAATTGTCATTAGACTCTCATTTTTAAGAGGGTCCTGATTACACCACCGATTCGCTTTTCTTCTTGGAGTACATTAAAAACCAACAATTTGTAGCAGGTTTTTGTTCAACGATGTCTAACTGCCTAACAGATATGATGCCATCATTTTTTGAGGTAGAAATTCCCAGGGAGGATTTGGTGTGCCCTTGGCTTTCCATCGGTAGGACAATACGTAGATTATTACATCGATTGCGTTTTACCCGGCTCACTCAAGTAGAGAGGCTAGGGTGGGTCCTCTGGAGTTGTTTGCTCCTTCTTTCCCATCAAACGTCTATTCTGTCCTCCTTATTTCCCAATAAGGTCATATAAGTGCCAAATATTATACTTTAATTAGAGGTATTACAAGAGAATAAGGTACATAAAAAAGAAGGGGGAGAAATCAGAACGATAGATGTTTGATAGAAAATACCCGATAGGGGTATGAAACATTAACGTTACAATGTCACTATAATATAAAGTCTCTAATCACTGCATGTAGCAGTTTGGTACGATTTCTATTTAGTAGTTGTGACTTCCTCTTGTTAAAACAACAAAATTTTGATTGCGTCGGTAGCCTCGTGGTTAGGCTACCGGACCCGTAATCGTGAGACTGCGGGTTCGGTGGGTTCGTGCCCCCCGGCTCCTTCCGCGTTGTGTCATTGGGAAAGGCACTTTACACGAATATCCCACTTGGCTCAGTCCTTTCGGAGATAGACGTTAGACTCGGAGGTCCCGCCTCTTAAACAACCTAATAATAGTGTTGATGAAGCATTAACACTATACCATATGGTTGAGGGGAGGGGGGGAGGGGGGGGGTTCACATTAAAATTTTGACCAAAGAGTCTAGTGCCATTCCCACTCATTCACAGTTGTTGTTATTTTTTGCACAGAAAAAAAATAACCAAAGTGTTTGGTGCCATTCCCACTCATTCATAGTTTGTTTGTTGTTGTCGTTCCATTTTTTACAACAAAATATTGACCAAAATGTATGGTGCCTTACCCCACTCATCTCATTCACAGTTGGTCGTACACAAGAGGCCCTTCTCATTTTACTGCGATGATAAGGCGAAGTCTGCAGCGAACTGCCGGAATAAGTCTACCTGCTCCATATATCCCATAATTGTCAAACAGGACGAGATCGGAAGTGTCTGGGATTCCATAGCAACGTTGGGGCCTCAAGGCAAGCCCAAAGTGAGTGATTGGCGCGCGTTGCCCCTTCTTTCGTGATATCAAAAATATTATTATTCTATTGTCTTGATCTCTTCTCTTTCGTTTCTTGAGTCTGTTACTCTCTTCGGTGGATGCACGGGTGTGGTTTGCTCTTTCTTTCATGTTATGTGACATATTGTTATTCTTTCGTCTTGATCTCTCCTCTTTCTTTTTTATTTCGTGTTTTTGTTGCTCTCACGACCATATTTAGAACTTAGTAGGAAAAGTCGAGGTTCAGTTTGTCTTATACACTGGTCAACGGAGATTTTGCTTCTTCGCTACCTCAAAATTACGAGGCTCTATCCGCTAATTACCTAGGGTTTTTTTTATACATTTGGCGTTTAAAAAAAATTGAATTTCACATCGTATCAAGCTTTTTCAAAATCAGTTCTTTGAATACCTCGATAAGGAATCCGAAGAATCTTACAATTCTGATAGAGCAGATAGAACATCACTCAAAACGGCCAAAAATGTCACTGTCAGATAGAACTTTGTAATTCTGAGGTAGCGACTGGGCAACTGTTATATTAACTTCCTGGTTTCTCGAATCTGAAGATCGTTTTTGTCTATCACGTTGGGTTTGGGTTTTTTTTTAATGTATCGACCAATCATGTTATCGTTATATTACTATTAATATTGTTATGAAATACAGTTTGTGTTATAGTTATAGAATTTATGTTTTTAAAAAAAAGAAAAGAAAAAGAAAAATAGAACAAAAAAGTAAAGTTGTTACCGTATCCGATCTGGACATTGGGGATTGCCTTGTTAGAGAGACAACTTCCTGGGCCCTCGGCATATTGTGGCAGGGTGGCCAGTTTCTTTCCACGCCGCTTTTTCTGCGTCCCCAACTTGAAGTGAGGTATTCATTACTGCTGGGTGGGAGGGAGGGAGCGAAAAAAATCCGTGTCCGAACGGAGGTTCGAACACAATATATGTACTCCTAAAAAAACGCACTAGAAGCTGACCTGTACTCAAATATGTCGGATGTACATGTATAAGTAGTGATTACGAGAAACAATAAACAATTCCATATGAGCTGCATGGCCTGCTGTTCCTAAATATTGAAGTGGTTTATATCAGCGACAGAAAATGAGTTGCGTGAGCAGACTGTCACAGCGATTGTTATTTTCGCATAATGAAATTTGTTTGTTGGCTTCTCAAAATATACAATGTGTTTTAGTGCGGTCCAAAGGGGTGGCGCAACTTATCCTCAAATTATATCTTTAACGGGTGAATCAATGTCACCCATACTTTGAACAACAGTTCGTATCAGTTTGTCTTGACTTAATCATGTTTTTCCACAAAAATTGAGGTTAAATTTTTTTAAGCGTTTCTTCAAAAATGTATATGAAATACTGCACATCTCCGTCACACTATTACAAAAAAGAAATAAAAACAGAACAAAAAATGCTGGTCAAATATTGCATACCCAGACTACTCGATGACCAGCGCCCCAGTGGCGCAGAGAACCCTATACCAGTGCTACCTGCAGGCCTGTTTATTGAAAGCAGTAGTACTTAAAATGAACGTTTCAATAGTGAGATACGTAGATGATACAGTCCTGTTGGTAAACACGAGTGAAGATCTTTCTGAACTTTTGAAAGTAGTAAAAGAGAACAGCAGCAAGGCAGACCTCGACATGAATGTCAAGAAAACAAAAACAATTGTCATATCAAAATCTATTGGAAAAACAACAGACATAACCCTAGAATGGAGGAGAATCGAATAAGTACACCAATTCAAATATTTTTTAGCAACAATTAGTGTAGGAGAGGAACGACAAAAATACAGGAAGAAAGAAAAAAATTGCAAACGAAACAAAAAGCATTGGGATGTACATATAATCAGGTCACTTTCAACATATCAAAAATGTACATTCACGCAATAATGCAAAATGCTATTTTTAGCTCATGATGTCATCGGGGTCAACTTCATTTTTTTAAAATGTCTTTTAGAACATAGGCATGTTGCACCTCGGCAAAAATGCTGTTTGGATAATATGTAATATTGAAAAAGCTTGGAGGCAGTTAATAGGAACACAAACACACCAAATGGAATTTCATAACAGTAGATCGTGCACGTTCATCATGTCCGGTACTGTATTTCATGAGTATCAAACCCATCAGGAAACTCCAGGTGACTGATATCATCTTCATCAGTAAGGGATTGGGCAATTTGTGCAGGTCAAACCTTTGCAACCTCCAAGGAAAATGGAGCATCCCAGTCCGTGGCGACGACACTTGCAATTTGTGGACTTGCAATCTGTTCTACAGCTGCACTTAACCACCTTCAACAGAGAATGTGGGGCAGGTGGCATATCTGTCGTGCACGGCTCTAAGTGATTATCGCGCAGCTGCCAACCCCATTGTGTCATGAATATTACCTGCACTTGAAGATACACCCGAAGACTGTGGTACTTGGCTGCAGTACTGGTTGACGGCAAGCATTGGATTTGAACGGATGTGGCACATGATGCAACGCTCACAGAGAACCTCTTGTAACGCAGTTGGTCAAGGGTGTCTGCAGCAGTGCCATTGTAGAGACTGACTAAAGCTCTTTCTCCAGCATCACTAATGTCTTCCTGAGTCTTTCCTGCTGTGCAAAAAATGAGAGCTTGCTTTCGAAAATGAGCATCTATCAATTTTCTCATTGGAACCATTTTTCCCAGCCCAAAAAGTCTCAAAGTTGAATCACAGCCATTGACACCATGAATGAAGGGAAGAAAATGACACGTTTCTTCGCCAAGTTTCTCCTTCAGGTCCGGGATGTTTAAACTTTTGTGAGTGTTGCCTGCTTTTCTGTCTTATCTGAAGATAATAGGCCTGCTACTGAGCTGTGCATGGTGACAAAGGAGCACAAGCAACTCTGTATTTTCTCCAATGACAGCTACAGGGTGGGTTGCTGAATACTCCACAGCAGTTTTTACTACGAGTGGGTCGGAGTCTCCAGCAGCGTGAAGACAGTGGCAACCAAGAGCCATCAGAGTGCGACTAGGGACGTGAACGAACTCATGTTTGTTCCTTGGATTTGAAAGGAAGTGTTCCTTGCTTGAGGTCAATGCCATTTCTTTGGTGAAGACAACAGCTGGTCCGACCACACTTGCTGAACGCCTGAAGTGAGCGGCATCTTTAACTGATGGGCCCGACTCATACCCATCAAACACCACAATGGGCTTAGAATATTTTCCAAAATTGAGTCAATAGTGCCGTAAAACACCTACTCAATCAATCATTAGAATATTTCCTGTTAACATATTCAGCATACCTATTACAAAGTACGGAAATGGGCTTTTTCTTCCTCCAGGGGATTTTGTGAAGAAGTGAAGCCCCGTCCAATATGGTCACCATGTCCATATACTCATCTTTCGATGGTGGATCATCTTTGAAGAGGTCTCTGATTGAATCAGCCAGCTTGGATTTGTGTGCTTCTCTCATCAATCCTGATGGTTCAAAGAGAGATGGTGGAGGAGTCGTCAGTTCATACTTCAACACAGATGGGAGGTCATAATCGTCAGCGTATGCTGCTGTAATCATCCGCTGAAAGAGAAGTTGAGCCTTGACTTGTATGTTTTCACCCTCCATTTTGGCAGTGATTTTGGTGTCCATGCTAACAACTTGATCTTTTCTTTTAAAGGTGGAGTCTTCACAGGTTTTCCCTCCATGGTCTGCAAAATAGCCTTGCCAACATCTTTTGCAGTGTCGGCATTAACTGTGGAATGAGCTGTCACCCCTGTGCATATATTCCGTAATGTCTGATCACTGGCAAAGGGGTTGCGATCTTTTAAGAAACTTAGGAGCAGTCTCATATCTATCATCTCTCGTTTGTCTGGCATCACTGACTTGTGACAATATGTTGTTGACTTGTATTTAATTCTGTACCAGTAACTCGTTGCATTCCACTGCATATTATATCAGCACAAGCTGGCATGGACATGAGCCAGTGTGTTCTCTGTGTATCTCCCATGCCTCTACCACGTGTCAGTCCTCCAGCAGACTTTGGGTTTCTCATTAAAACTAGCTCAATCACGAGATCAGTTCTCAGTCCAGCCCAGAAGCGATCACTTCGACACAGAACATGAAAGCCACACGTGAAGGCATTGAAAACTGATGGTTGCTGTTCTTCAAGCTGTCTAATCTTCTGAAGGTAGATATAGACCGACTTGGTACTGTGAGTGCCCGTCAGAAGCAAGGAAGGGGAGCATGTCTTGCAAGGATTGTAAACGTGACCACCAGCCTCCTGTACGTTCGACTTCAAGGAAGCGTTTCAAGATGTCAATCATTTCCTGTACTGAAGCCAGATACAAAAAATAAAACAGAAAAAAAAACTCTCCCCCCCCCCAAAAAAAAAAAACAGAAAAAAATACAGCTAAATTTTTTAAAACAAAAAAGACAGATAAAAGTTTTTTTGTTTTTTTTAAAGAAAAAAATACAGCTAAAAAAAGTAGACACACAGGTTTGAACCCTGGTAAAAAAGTTTTACACCTAGATCTAGTCAGAGAGGTCTGATACCTTTACCACTCGGCTAGAACGTCACACGTCATCAATACTCATGTTAACATTATATACAGTAGGCCTACATATTATGCACTTGATAAAATTGAGCGTTCTTTCATTCAACTTCTGTTAGCATACACACAGAGTGTGTTTGTTTGTTTTGTTTAGTCTACTCGGTAGAAGAGCTCTGATGCAACAATTATAGACCATAGATAAAGTAATTAACTTATTTGTAACAGTTTCCTTTAACATTTCTTCCAAAACAGAGTTGTTTGACATGGTGCGGCCATCGCGATCATTCCGCGGACGATGTGTGCACCGTGCAAATCGAGCCTCCACGAGAGGACACGGAGTTCGCGTTTTCACTGAAAATTAAAAAATTTCCCATTCGTACATAATAAATGTACCTTTTGAGTATGTTAGATACGATGATTTACTCTATCAACTGCATTTCATTGTGTTTCTTTTGCTTTTATTTCCTTGCGATTTCTTATATCTGCCAGACTAAATCACAGACGATGGCAGAAGTGAAGAAAATAGAAATAAACGTAAGAACACCAAATGCAAAAACAAGATGCAGCTCAATGTAATGCACAAACTATTTACATCCTGACACGTCCTATGGTCCTGATCTCTCCTCCTTCTTTTTCTTCTTTTTTTTCTTGTTTGTTTGTTTGTTTGTTTTGTTTGCTACTCTCTTGTAACGCCTCTATTATTCGGAACTTATGACCTTAGTGTGTTGCATGAGCCATAAAATTCCTACTAAAGCGAAACTAAAATCATTTCCAATCCAATCAGTTGATCGCAGAAGTCAGTAAGAGAATAACATTCTCTCGCACTGGACGAAGAAACATCACTCTCCACGTTGAAAGCTTCACGTGTCAGGACGCAGGAGTTTATGGTTGCACATTTGGTTCCAATAGAGACGCAGGAGGCATCTACTTTATGAAAAACACCATCATGATAGGTGCTTTCTCTGTTGATTTTTGATGGTGTGGAAGTACTTTTTCTGTTGATACGCGATTGGGTGAAAGAGTATTTTTGTCTGTTGATACTTGTTCCGTCTTGGTTGATACGAGAGTACTTTTTCTTTTAGTGGTGTGAAAGAGTACTTTTTTCTGGTGAAAGTGTGTGTAAAAGTACTTTCTGTGGTTGATGCGTGATGGTGTAAAAGAGTTCTATTTTCTGGTGAAGGTGTAAGATGGTACTTTTTCTGTTTAATGCGCGATGGTATGAAAGAGTACTTTTCTGTTGATGCGTGGTGGTATGAAAGAGTACTTTTTCTATTGATGCGTGGTGGTATGCACTAGTATCTTTTCCATTGATTTTTCTGTTGATGCATGGTGGTGTGATTGAGGCATGTCTAAGAGCTGCCTTCTACGGAGTGTGGCGGGGGGATGATTTGTTTGTTTTTTGTGTGTTTGTGTGCGTGTGTGCGTTTATGTGTGTGTCTTTGTGCTTGTGTGTCAGTGTATGTGTCTGTCTGTGTGACTGTTTCTATGTCTGTGTTAGTGCTGTGTATGTGAGCGTGTATGCGTCTAGGCCTGAGTGTGTGCTCGTGTGTGTGTGTGGTTGTGTCTGTGTTTGTTTGTTTGTGTTTATGCGTGTTAGTGTGTACGTGTATTTGTGTGTGTTTATGAGTGTTAAAGTTCGTTCAAGCACAGTAGAATTGTAAATGGGCTGATTCATGTCACGCTCATAACTGTGCCTGATCTGCAACAGGGAACTGCTGCTTT